CCCCAAAACCCCAAAACCCCAAAACCCCAAAACCCCTCACCCTCATTTGCAAATTGAAACTGGTGGCTTAATAAGAGTGTAGATGAGGAATATACTATATTTTAATTCGTCAGAATTGGTGGTGAGCTTACCATGATCTAATTATTTCTAATTTCCCCATTTATTCTTCATTATAGCTTGACAACTCATGTAATAATAATTAAACTCTTTCACGTTTGCCACTCCTCTTCTGTTTTTATTGAGCTGTTATATTAAAAATAGCAACGACTACTATTACTAAGCTTACTTTCCAACTTGGTATGAATTCTCTCTAACTTACCTTCTAACTTTAGATTCAAAACCTAACTTCAATTCCATAAACTTGGGCGGTACGTCACTCAAATGGTTAAGGATTTCACACGGCCTAGGTTAGAGGGAGACACCTTTTCCTGAAAAATAGCTGAGAGCTACTGTTACCGTAACCTTCGGAGAGAGGATCTTAAAGAAAATAAATCAGTTTTTAGGAGGTGTTTTTGTGCAAGAACTGTTGCACTTGTAGCTGGCACTCACTTTTCTAGCTTACCAGAATTCTAAAGAAATTGGAGTATTTTAGGTGTATTTCGCCCGGTCAACTTTAACTTATTCTTAATAATATTTATGAAAGATTAGATTTTGGCAAGAAAGTGAAATTATGGATATTTAGAAGTATAAACAGATCATAGACAAATAAATATGATAAATTGAGGGAGTTCTAATGACAGACTTAACACTCCTCTAATATCTAATCCACTAATCAAGGAGATGGCAATAATAGGTTTCAGAACTATAGCTAAAACTTTGAGTTAGCCTCGAACGTTCCTTTCATAAAGAATTCTTGCTTTGTTTAATTGTGAATTTAATTAGCTTGCACATAATTAGGTTTAAACAATTCATAAAGCTAGCTTGGTCAACTCTTTATTCATTTCTTTTACTTTTACATAAAGAAGAACTTGAGAGTCTTCGCCCTTTAGTGGCAAGGATTTCTGATAGGAACTTTTTGTTAGAGTATGTGTAAGATGATAGTTCCTTCTTTTTGTGTATGTCTACTGAAGTCTTCTTCTTTGCCTTTGAAGGAGAGCGATTTGTATCTGTGGAGTATCTGTGTTCTCAAGTTTCCCCAGTTGAACTATCTTCACTAGATCACTCAGTCTCTTCAGACTCACAAGGATCACAAACCTTAATTTTAAGAATGGATTTTCAAGACTCAGCTTTAAGAGAATTTTTAGTGACAATTGTCTTTTTGGATTCCTCAAAGTCATAAATCCTTTCAAGATCTTTGGCCCAATTCACATGTGTCCTCCCATCATCTTTAGGAGGTAGTGGCTCAGAATCATCAGATTCGCAGTCGTTCGATTTGTTAAAATTTTTCTTGAGTCTTCTTCTGATGCTCGATCCAATAGAAAACTTTTTGTTCATCTTTAGAAATGAGTTAATTCATCAAAAGTAACAACGATAGTATTTTTAAGGCGAAATATTTCCTCTGGCCTTATTATATTTTTGAGATCACTCCAAAGAGTGTATTATGAACTCTCAGGAGTTTGAAACTCTCCATTTTAACAAAAAAGTAAGTTCTCACCTGTTTGTGGTCCGATATTTTAAAATTTTCAATTTTTGGAGATTTTTATGGGGTTTTGGGGTTTTGGGGTTTTGGGGTTTTGGGG